AAAAAAAAAAAAAAAAGAAATGTGGCAGAACCTTTAACTTGTTTTCACATGAAGCTTTGTGGGTGAAGAGATTCACTAAGTACTTCACGTTAAGGTGATACTGGACACACTGGTAGTCTCAAGGTTGGAGTTCTACAATGTATGTACATTGGGCTCCCTCTGTATCAACTTCAGAAACTCCAGTTAATTCAAAACATGGCGGCCAGATTGATTATCTAAGAATGAGCATATTATACCTATACTAAAACCACTCTGCAGATTGTATATTAGTTCCCGGGCAAAGTACAAAGATCTGATTATGCATTACATAACCTGTGTCCAGGTTACCTACAGGATCACCTTCTTTCATACAATCTTCTTCAGACACTTAGATCCTTTGGGAGAAGTTTACTTCAACCAGCCAGAACTCAACTGGTAACTTTCACCCTGAAGATATTTTCATCAGCCACCCTGAGACTATGGAATGACCTACCTGAAAATGTTAGACAGCTAAATGAGCTGTCAATATTTAAGACACAATTAAAGACCTATCTCTTCCAGCAGGCCTGCTCTTTTAATTTAAAACTGAATTCTAACTTTACATTTTATTAGTATTGGTGTTTTAATCTTTGTTTTATGCATTTTAATATATGTCTTTTAATGATACTGTGTTTTATCTGTGTATTTTACCAATGTTGTGCCATGTCACGAGGACAGGCAGATAACATTTTTAAATTATTCTTATTCTTATTCTTATTAAAATAAGTGGATTTATATTAACCAATGCTCATGCAAAAATAAAAAACAAATTAGTCAAAGAGCCTACCATGTTTCTCCTCCCTCCGTTTTAAAGGAGTAATCATTTTAATGTTGCACAGTTATAACTGGCATTTACAGTTTTTTTTGAAAAATATGAATTGGTGCATATTTGATATGATGAACTGAAATCTGGGAAAAATTAGTAGGAATAACCCACTAACTATTTAGACTATTTATCAAATATACCAATAAGTTGACTTCGTGTATAAGCTGAGGACAAATTTTGGGGCTAGAACTATGGATTTTGATGCCACTAGCATTTTCCCCTTCCATGGGATCATTCTATAGAGGTGGAAAAGCCAGTGGGGTTTGCAGCCTCTGGCTCTTTCCTTTTCCCTAGGCAGATCAGTAGCAGAGCCATGGTAGAAACTGTAAGGGTGTGTGTGTGTGTGTGTATGATAAAACTTCTTTTAGTTTCTTCCATAATGGACAAAGGTCTTGCCTTTCACCACTCTACTCAGAAAAGTGAGGAGGTTTCCTTTTTTGTTATAACAGTTTACAATACATGCATTGACTTGTGGTTAAATTGATCCAAGTTTTTAGATTGATTTTTTGATTTTTTTTTAAAAAAGAAGATATATAGTAGAGTCTACAGGTTCTTCCATCTGACTATGTCAAAGCAAATGTAAAAATAGTTGTGCTCGTTTATTTCTGATTTTGGATTATTTAGGACTGTTTCCCTATGACTCCATCTACACTGATCATTTAATGCAGTTTCAAACTGGTATTTAAAAAGGTATTTTCACTGTGCAAATTATTTTATAGGACATCCTGGAACTAGTTTGAGGTCCAGATGGTGACTACACATACACAGAACACTGATACACATTAAGGGTTTCCTTTTTAATGTTCATTTGTTGTTTGGTCACCGCAATTTGAATCTAGCTTAAAATTGCACTAAATGGTGAGTGTGGATGATAGTTTCAAAAAACAGTTGTTGCCTTGGTAAATTATTCTGGATTATACTTTTTTGTTGTGTAACATCATTAATTGAGTGCCATAGTATTGGTGGAAAAGTGAAGTGACCTGGGAATCTACATGAAAGACTTTCTTCTTTATTTTCTCCTTCTGATCAGTTCCCTGCATTTCATATTTCTGTCCTTTGGGAAGTGAGTTAAATATATCGGGAAGTCAAATATCAAACATACTGAATTGACTTTGCAGCCATCAAATGCTACTTTATAGATTATATCAAAGTCTTTGACTGTATCTACATGAGAAACTCTGGATTGCTCTTAAAATAGGTGTGTGGCAACATTTGATTGGCCTTGTAAACCGTACTCAGGACAAGAGGCTGCTGTTAGGACAGAATATAGAAAAGTACACATGCAGGTTTACAGTTGGAACATTAAGAAAACAGAAATAATAACCAGAGAAAATGTACTTGTTGAAGACAATGAAATAGTTCCAAGATTTCCCATATCTTGGCTCAGTCATAAATCAAGGAAGCCCTTTGTATACAAGACCTGCACAAGGACTTGAAAGTCTCTCAATCATAATGCCACCATAACTTGAAGTTATATTATCAGAAGTTAACAGCAACAACAAGGAGCTTCTTGTTCGAATTTGATATAAAGACGTGGTTTGCAATAATGAGAATGAGTCTTGAGGAAACTTTAGGTTCATATGCAGCTAGTCCTATACCCTTCCCAGTTTGAAGCAAACCATTATTTAGCATTTTGTTAGAAAGAAGCAACCTGGCTTCTTTTAAGTTTGAATGGAAAATATTGATTCTGATTTCCAGACAAGCATAACCTGCAGTTTGTTATACAAAATGGCAAACCAAGAATTCAAAGGAATGTATAAGTTAAAAGTGATTTGGATATTGAATATGAGCCACTAGAAGAGACTGAAAAGTCAGAACAATACATTGTAATATGTAAGACTGAGCTTTTTGTATACACATATTCCAAAACCCGATGCTAATTTACTTTGTGAGTATATTCTCATTTGAGGCATTTGCTGATGTTAATATTTTTAACACTGAAACAGAAATGTAGTTCACTCATAAAGGGATTGATAAAGTTTGCATACTGTGTTACCAAGCATAAACAAGTGATTTAACTTTGGACTGGTTATCAAAATATGCTTGAGTGTTGAGTATGCCAGAGTAGGTGTGGGATAGTGAATTGGATATTTAATCTCAGTAAGTTTACTTGGTTGCTCATGCTCATGATCAAATACAGTGATTCAAGTTTTATAGAAACAAGAAATCTAGTAGGCTTTCTGTTGGAACCAAGAGCTCTGGTCCAAATAAGAAATGACTAATACAAAGAGTGTCCCCCCACACTAGTTCTTTAATATAGATTTTTAAACAACGTTGTTCATTTTTTTCACAGACAATATATATGTTATCTATTGAAATCCTCCGCCTCTTTTTTGTTTTTGATGAAAAGGCTCTTTTCTGCATTCCCACAAATGTACTTTAAAAAACCAACATGGTATTGAAATAAAAATGTTAGCACTATTAAAAAAATTAAAAGAACAGAACCCTACTTTTAAGTCAGCAAAACTTTTCCTACTTAACTGTTTTGAGCTACAGTTCAGAGCCAAAATAATGATTTAAAATCACTGTTTTTGCACTTTACAAAGATAAATTTGAATGTAAGAAATAATAACAAAATTGCTTGATTAGAATTCAAGTATTTTATTTGTTAATACATTTGTTAAGAAATATCTTAATTTTGATACCTGCTCTAGCTATGTCATGCAAACAGTATTGAATGAAATGTATAGAAACAGCAGAAGTGCAATACCTGTGTGGACGTCAACCAAAATTCCACTCAGTTGCAACAGAACAGTACACATTTATGAAAAGAACTTGGTGATACTAGTCTGGAAGCAGATTAAATCTTCTCTACTATAATGAAAAATACTGACATCAGAAACAATGTTGAAATCTTTAATAAAATAAAAGGTCACTCACTTGTCTGCTTGAGGTGCATAAAAGGGGTTTTTTTGGGGGGGGGGTGTTACCATTGGCTAAGAAGTTTTATGAAAAGGGTTATGTGGAAGGGGGAGGAAATGGTTGTAGCCTTCTAATTTTTGCAAGTTTGCTATTGGTACACAGGTAGATAGCCCTAGACCCCCAAAATCTGTTGTAAAACTAATTGTCTTTGAATGAATTGTCTTTAAATTATGGCTGGAACTGCTTGGCAGTTTCAATCATTTTGAAAATGCAAGTGCATTACACAGAGGTAAAGTAAAAACATTACACAAAGTCATTTTTTAAAATCAGCTTTTACAAACAGCTTAGAAATATTGCCCCAAATGTGTTTGTTTGAGGTATAGGAGCTTTACTGACCTATGCATGCAGTTTGTATTCAGAGCCATGGACACTGTGAAACCCTTAGTCCTGAAAAAGGCAGCATGCACCTGCAGAATCTTCTGGTTATAGTGTGATTTGTCCTGTAAATATAATTAACTGAAGATCTTTTTTTCTTCTAGAAAATATATTTCTTCAGAAATCTAAACTGACCAGTTGGTCGGTTTATTAAAGGCCTATTTTATTAGTAGGATAAAATTGTATATAGAGACTGTAACATTCCCCCAGAGACTTCTGAGGGCATGATTTGCCATATAGAAAATTAAAACATATCTTGACAGTTCTTGAGGTGCCGGGGCCACCAAAATGTCTCCTAAAACTCAAAGGTTGACCCATTTTGTTGTTTTGTGTTTTGTTTTTTTTTAAGTGGTACCTCCACAAAAAAGTAAAAATAATATACTTTTGTATTTGTGAGTAGTTTAAAATGTATGCCTCATGCAAAATCAGGGAAGAGTTCAAATTTACAAAACAGTTCCAGTGTGCTTGGTTCTCCATGAATTATTGAAACTGTAAAGCAATAGTCACTAGTAGTCTCTCTAGTTCAGTGGTTCCTGAGAAAAAGAAACTTTGCATGTGTCTGCATATCCCTTCTACTGCCTTGATTCCCCATTTCATCAGAACAATCAGAGGGGGGTACAGAGTGAGAATATCAAAGTTCTGTCCTACATCAGTGTTACATACTTTTGCATATTTGTGGGATGTGAGGTTTTCCTCATGTATCAACTTCCTCATTTGGAACAGACAAGATAAGCTGAAATTTTTGATATTCTCACCCAAATATTATATAGCCATACAAGAAGTACATGGATAAGTTAAAAAAAGTATCATACAGATGTTCAAATGTCTAAAACAGCTTTCCTAAATTGCACTTCTCTTTTTCAGGCATCTACACCTTAACAAGAAAGCAACAGACAAGCAGCCATATAGCAAGCTTCCAGGCGTGTCTCTTCTCAAGCCATTAAAAGGTGTTGATCCAAATCTCATCAATAACTTGGAAACCTTCTTTGAGTTGGATTATCCAAAAGTATGTATCAAGACCTGTTTGGGTGTGTGTGCTAAAGGTTGGACTTACAAAAACTGTACTTCTAAGGTTTGCTGTTGTAGACTATGTGGTGAATGATATTTTAGATAGTGTATGTATACATAGTCTTTTCTCCAAGCTATTGTGTGGTTAATGTTAGTCATTGATCAAAAGCAGTAACAACCAAAATAGGTTTCAGCATGAATCTGAATGGGACGAATGAATATCAATTATTTCTGTTCCAGCTGACAGTTGGCTTTTGCATGCTGCATCCCATGTTCATATTTGTATTCCTATGAGAACAACTGTCTTCCCTAGATATTTTTTTTAAATAGAGTTGTGTTAAATTATGATCATACATCTAAAGGAAAAAAGGGCTGGAGAAAAAAATGCAGCTAGATTAACTGGTTTTTATTTTAGTATGAGATTTCATGAATATAAATCCACTTCTTCAGATGCAGCATGCATCTGAATAAAATAAAATAAAAACCAGTTAGTGTTAAAGGTACTGCAACACTTCATTTTTTCCCTTCCTTTCCCTTCCTCCCTTTTAGACTGCAAGGGACTGACACAGCTATGAAATGAGTCACACACATAGAAGTTACTAGATTTCTTAGAATAGTTCAATAGGTCCACAGGCAGTAGCAATCTACTGGATACTTAATAATTTGTAAGCAATGCATACCTTGCAGTAAAAGACAGTACAGTAAATCCTTCTCAAGACAGGTGGTTGTTTGTGAGGCACCTGCCTCTATTAGGAATTAATTGGACTAGGATAACTGTTTTCTATTTTTTTCCAGTATAGAATATAAAAAAAATGAGAGTGCAGACAGTCCCCAAGTTATAAATATCCGACTTATAAACAACTCAGAGTTAAAAACAGGGCTGAGACAACAGGAAATGAGAAAAATCTACCCCTTGGAAGGGAAATTCATTCCTAAAAGAGTTATCATGAGAAAAGGTGTTGCCAATAAAGTTTTAATCACCAATTCTTGTTTCCACAACAAGCCTCCCCCCCCCCCAATCCAATTATCTCACTAACAGAAACTGAGGTGAAATCTTCTGAACAGATAGACATTGTCTGAACAGACAGACAGGCAGCAAGTAAACACCATAGGGGTATTAACCCTTCACTATGCTACCCAAAGCTTTGAAATATATACTCTTGGCTGGAGTTAAAATTTAAAAATGTGCCTGTTSCGACTTACATCCAAATTCAACAGAAGAACAAACCTACAGAACCTATTTTTGTTCATAACTTGGGGACTGCCTGTAACTTGGGGACTGACTGTTGTGACATGGTAGACCTTGACATAGAATGCATCACTTTCTATTCATTTTCTTTGCCTTGACATACAGGGTGAGGCAGCATTACTTCCTTTTTTCAAAATTTAATAAAACCCATTGTATGAATCAGATTTTTTTTATAATGTAGGCGCATACCTAAAGTTTTGTTTTACGTAGTTTTGAAGATCAAATTAGGTAGGTGACATCCCCCATTCTCCATACACTGAGTAAACCAATTTCTGGTGTTTGTCATTACACTTGCCAGCATAGCAGGCATTATGCTGGCAATTTCTTCCTGGATGTTGGTCTTCAGATCTTGTAGGGTCCTTGGACAGTTCACATAAACACGGGATTTCAAAAAACCCCATAGAAAAAAATCACAGGGGGCCAAATCTGGAGAGCGGGCTGGCCACTCCAAATCCAATGGAAAAGTAGGCCTCAACGGCAAAAGCACGCTCCTCACTGTTCCAACGCATGATGGCGACTAAACTGTGTCAGGACAAAACTTTTTACTCCTGCCTCTCGAATGAGACCACTAGTGCTCCGCTACGTCTTCAACCGACTGAATGGCGAGCATTTTAAAAAAGGAAGTTATGCTACCTCACCCTGTATATGTTATTATCAGAAAGATGTTCTGTTTGTGCACCATTCAAGTGAATACATTAGTGTTACAAGACCAGCTCTTTCTTTTTAGTAGGACTGGCAGAGATTTTGTACCAGGTTCAAATGTGTTTTCCTTCCCTTCTTGGGACAAACTGGGGTTCTGCTGCGTTGTTACTTGCTCTGAGATCCAGCAGTGTCTCTGGGATTTGGTTTTGGGGATTGCCAGAACATGGGACTTAACCTTGTTTGGAGACAGCCTTCTTTAAAGCAGTTGAAGACTTAGACTAACATTATAACTAAAGGGCTGTCCTAACATGCCATTCATCCATAAATACATATTGAGACACACTTAAGATTTGATTTTCTCAACTGCTCAGGAGAGTAATGAATCCAATAAAGGGGATTTTACATTTGTTCCCTTGTTATAACCAGGTCATTTCCGGTTGAGATTTAGATATCTGTGGCTCAGTCTGCAAAAATAGGAAAGAGGCATATTAAATGTCTTGTATGGGGGGGGGGGGCTATTTTGCTTGCTGTCTGGAATGAAGGAATGATTCAAGCAGTTGATATGAACAGCTGCCTCATTGGTGTACATTCAAACTGAGAAACGTGGAGCAAATGAGAGGGGTGGAACATATGTGAAGGAAGTCAAGATGAAACAGATTGATTACAAGTGTGAATCTACTATTGGTGATGAGTCTGTTTTGTGATGTGAAGAAGGAAAAATGCTTTTCTTCTTCAATATAGCATACTGTTGTTGCCATCAGCAAAGGTTTTTCTGAGTACTGCAGGAGCTTTGTATCAGACTTTGGAGAAGGGGAATCCTTATTGTGTTGTGACATATCTGTGAATCCTTTTTTATGGTAATATTGTTTTCATCCATCATGACTAAGACTGCAGAGCTGATGTGTCATTTACAATGGAAGTACAGCACCATTTGATCCTTTTTGTTAGATGAATTATATTTACTGGAGCCTGAGGGTACAGATTTTTTTAAACATATCTGCTGACTGTACTTAATCCTTGTCTATAACTATATAATGGCAGAAATTTACATTATGAATGGACAGAACAGGATCTTGCAATTGATGTTCTTTTCAGAATAATGTGAAGACCTTGTTTTCTCCAGATCTTTCAAACTCTCTATCTGGGCTCCCACTACTTATAATTCAAGGTGCTGAATATACTGGTTGATTTGCTTGACAAAGGGGTATAATGCTGCATTGCATTTTGCATTTTTGTTTTACAATTTGTTGTGTTTCTCTTCATATGTAAACCACACAGAATATTTGTGGATGAGTGGACATAGCAGCCACGTAAAAATGGCCAGTGGGTTTTAAACCCATTCCTATATTTTGTCTTGTTTTTGTAGCTTACTTTATTTTATTTTTAAAATATTTTCTATTAAAACAATGTAGAGTTCTAATATTTACAATGTCTTAAAAAGTGGGGTATTGGGGCAGTGGGGATGGGTAGAAACTATTGCAGGTGAACAATTAATAGATAATATAATACTAAAAGAAAAAGAAAAAAAAGGAGTTAAGGTCCCAATGTTCTAGGATCTGGATAAGCAAAGGGGGCAAAAAAAGATATTCGACTTTCAGTTTTCTCCACTGTGGTTTCCTTTCTAATTTCTTTATTTGGTTCTCTCCCCTCTTCAATGTTGTCCATTAGGTAACAATTTTTCTCTTCATTTTCAATTTGGTTCTATTATCAATTTTATTTTTTCTTGTTTTATATAGTCTCTTGTTGTATGCAATCCGTTATTTTTTATAACCTTCTAAATGGTTGGGTTAGTTTGTCCATATTCATTATATCCATTATACGTAGCTTATTATATATGTATCTTATTTTATACACTGATTACTCCAATATAAGTATGGTATAAAGGAAATTCACAGAAGTTTGAACATTTCTTATACTTCCTTATGATGTTGATATACATCCATCTCTTTGCTAAAGCATCTTACTGAACAAAAGTGATGCAGTTATGTTCTGCCAACAAGCTGTTGAGCCTAGCTTCTCAGCCAAATGCATATATGCTGACACTTTTTAAATGATACTGTTCTGCATGAACTCCCCTTATAGGAAATTCTCCTGGAACACTTCAGCTCTGTTGTGGTGCGATAATATCCTTCTCTGTATTACTACATCATCCTTAATTCATCACCTAGGCTATAGACGATATTATCTTGATTAGAAACTGCTTGACATCTGTTTCCCCCATTTCATCTTGGTTGTCTTTCTTGTCTTAAAAACTTCTCTGCAGTATTTGACTTGCCTCATAATTTTGAATAGTCCTCATATAATGGCTAATTTGAAAATAAAAATATAAGAATATGTAAAGGATGGGGAGGAGGGTTTAAATTGAGAGGACAAAAGAATTATCTCATTTTAAATAATCAATCCCACCTGTTTGGGTTTTCACACATGATGATGACGACGTAGAATAATTTTTACATCATGGATTATCAGGCTCTAAATTTTCCTTTGTGTGGGATTTTCCCCCTCAAGTCAGTACAGCATCACTATTTTAAAACACATCCTTTAGTCATTGTATGGCATTTTAAGAGTGATAGTCCCAAACCTAAATTTTTGTAAGTTTCAAATCTTGGAAGAGATAGAGTTCAAATGTGTTCAAGCATTTTGGTGTATCTATTGTTTTGAAATCCTCCAAAGCTGTGGCTGATGTCTGAACATTCACACAGTAGCCCCTTCCTTAGGAGATGAACAGTGGGGATGCATTTCACCTTCTGAGGACAGGGCATGCTTGTGAATGTTCACAGGGCAGTAACATCCTCAGGAACCAGCCATGCTGCATGGTAATTTTTGCCTGGTATCGCAGGTGCACATGATCACACAGGAAGGGAACTAGGCACTGCTTGTCATTGTCACTTCATCTGCCCAGTGGATCGAAAGTCTTCCTCTTCCTGTGTGCTCTTTCTACTGTGCAATTTCTGAAGGATGCCAGGTGAAACAGACACACACTGCATGCTGGAAGAGGAAAAGAAGGTGAAATTTGCTGGGTAAATGAAATGAAAGTGGAACACTGGCATTTGCTTCTCCTCTTCCTGTATGCCAGGCATGTCTGCTTTGTCAAGACAAAGAAGGAGAGGTACCAGAGAAAGCAGCACACAGGTAGAGGAAAATGAGCTATAATCCACAGAGTAAGTAAAGGATGCTGGCATGCAGGACCTTTTCCTGCCTATCTTCCACCTAGGACCACAGTGGGTAGCTCTCCCACTCTCCAGGACTGCAGCTGCTGCACCGCCAATTCCCCCATTAAAGATAGTCATGTTTTTTCTACTTCTGTGAGCTGGGGTGAGGTGGGGGCTGTCTCCCTAACCCCTGTAAAAGTGGACGGCTTGATTGTACTTATAGATAATTTGCAGCATATATGTCATAAGTTCATATATTCTCTACTTATATTTTGATTTTAAGTATGACATACTGTAGGTGTTTTGGTTTGCTTTTTTCTTGGCTGAATAAGTGAAACCTATACGAAATTTGTGTCAAAGTATAACTCATTCACACTGTCTTAAATATTGTGGGGAAAGAATAAGCAATATCTTCATATTAGTTCTAGGAAAGCTTTCACAAACACAAATGGAATATGATGTGAGAGGAGGATAGATTGGGTGAATGCCAACATAACTCTTCAACTGTTTTCTTTGTCTGATTATGGCTTGTTCTCATGTTCCATCCTAAATAGAATGGATTCATTCCACTGTGCTCTGTAGGGTTGAAGTAAGGAATTTGGCGTCCTCCAGATGTCTTGGACTACAACTACAAATAGTATTTGACAGTTGACATGCTTGCCTTGCAGAATATGAAAATGGCTTGATGCTGCGTGAACAGTCTCTAGTAGTTGCATTTGTGAAGCCAAGGAGTAAAATACTATTGACAAACAAAATCTCTGCTCCTATAATCTGAAATAGCGTCTAAAAATGTATCTAAAACCTGTTCAAGATTTCTCTAGAGCAGCATGCAAGCTATACAGATTTTTTAAAAGAATAATCATCAAATCAGATCTAAACAAAGAAACCGGTGGACAAATTAGGGTAATAAAATTAAGGTGATTAAAAATTCTGTCAAACAATTTAAACCACTTGTTGAGTTCTGCTTTGAGTTTGTTAAAAGGCACTTCCTATAAGATTTCTTTATGAAATGCATACTCTCTTGAAAACAATTTCAAGACGATTACCTTGATAGTCAAATGTTATAAATAATGCTAATGATATTTTTATTTATTGTATCAGAAGTGATTCAAGGGTCCAGTTGTAATGTATTTAAAAACACAGTTTAAAAACTTGGCATTATATTAAATGTCTTTTGATCAGTAGCTGGCCACATGGAGTGCCAGTGGTTGCTATAAGAAGGTCCTCCATTATGCATGCAGCAGGGCTCAGACTGCATTGTAATAGGTGGCCTGTGCTAATAATGCCTTTCAGTCTCCCCCATATCATTTCAGGACAGTAAGCTTAAAATTAAAGTTATTAGTATTTCTGTGATGGTATATTCTTACTCTTTTCCCCAGTATGAAGTGCTTCTTTGTGTCCAAGATCATGATGATCCTGCTATTGACGTGTGCAAAAAGCTCCTTGGCAAATATCCCAATGTTGATGCAAGACTATTTATAGGTGAGTGAGAACAATTGTATATCATGGAGTTGCCTTTTAATAGAGAGAAACCCAGATGAAGCAGAATCTGGGACAGTGATGCTAACCTGTCAATTTTTTTTCTTTTTAAAACATTGTCACTGTGGATAGTAAAACACATGAAGACAAAGCTTAATAGCAACTGCTCTAAATAGGTGTTTCCTATTTATCAGAATTACATTTGATCATAATAACTTTGTGTATTTTAGTCATACAAAGATCAGCTTCTGTTGCTACAGTTACTCAGAAAAGTGTTGGTGCAGCAACTTGACTGTTAAAGGTGTTTAGTTCAACATTGTCCGTTATTGCTGCTGTTTGTACAGTACTTATTAAATTTTTAGTTTCTAAAGTTTGTGTCTTAAATGCAAAAGACAAGTAAAGCATGCCAATCCGTCTCTGGCATTTACCATGCCATAGCTGATAACTTCTTTGTAATCCCATGAAATGTTTGTGATTAATGTTTTTGCAAATATATTCAACATAAAGACCTAGTGTCAGTTCTATCCCCTTTTGCTTGATGGCAAATAGTCAATATACTATAACGTGCAATGGAGCCAGAATGTTACAGAGAAGATGAAATTTTATGATGCTGCTGGATAGATATTATTGAAACTGTTGCACTTCCTAGAAATGGCTAACTAATACAGCTTGGTGTATGTAAGTGTAGCCACCAAGAAATATGTGCAGCAAGATGTTATATTAGCTATACATCTGTGCTTCTACTTCTTTGCTGTAGACAGGCACATATTACCAAAGGATCTATACTTCAGCTTCTCAAGTTCACTCTGCACCTGGTGATCATGCAATGTTTATTCAAAATCAAAATTGCTATCCTTTCCCCAGCTAGATTTCAAGCTTGAGAACCTGATTAGTGGTTATGAACCTCCGTTTGTTTATCCAGAAACCTGACATTTCATAAAGTACCTCTTTAGCACCATTTTATTTGGAAATTGGTATCCCACAAACAAATGTTTGGTTTGTTCATATACATTATTTTTCTCCTCCTTTAAGGTGGTAAAAAGGTTGGGATAAATCCGAAGATCAACAATTTAATGCCAGCATATGAAGTTGCCAAATATGACCTCATATGGATTTGTGATAGTGGCATTAGAGGTATGTTAGTTTGGTACGTGGCAAAAGAATTAAAAAAAATTGAAAGTGTGCTGTTGAATTTGATGATAATGGCAACAAATATTTGCTTTTATTCCATCAGTGTATAGGACTTGACAGAGCGCGCCCTTTATACTCATGTATAAGTCGACCTTATGTATAAGTCAAGGGCATATTGACTTATGGATTTTGATATGATCTATGGATAAGTCAAGGGTCATTGTGCTGGGAGGAGAAAGTAACAGTGCTGCCACTACTGTTTTCCTCCCAAGGCATTCAAAAAGGCTTTTCACCATTTTGTTCACAGAAGGGAATAGTTCGTTTTTTGATCAAAGTTCAGGTACGCCACTAACTTCTTATAAAAAAAGTGAGCATTCCCTTCTATGGGTAGAGTGTTGAAAGCCAAGAGCATAGTCCATTCTAGTAGTACAGTGGTACTCAACCTGTGGGTCCCCAAGTGTTTTGGCCTACAACACCCAGAAATCCCAGCCAGTTTTCCAGCTGTTAGGTTTTCTGTGAGTTGGACACCAAAACATCTGGGGACCCACAGGTTGAGAACCACTGCAGTAGAACCTAAAGGAAGCACTCTCAAGAGTTTACGGACAGTATTTATATTGCCCTTGATAAATCGACCCAGATATTTTGGATTGATTTCTTGAGTTGAATTTCTAGACTTATACTGTACATGAGTATATACAACAGTAAAAAAATAGTAGGTTGCTGCCCAAAGAAAGTTTGGAGTTGGTTTTCATGAAACTGGCGACAAAGAGAATAGTCACAGTGAAAGAAAGGTGACATTGAGCATTCATAATCAAAGGACTCAATCATTGGTATTTAAAAGCAATATGAAATTTGTTTAAATTCACAATATTTCACCATGAATTAATTATACTAGTTGCTTTACTGCACACAGACATACACTTATTTGGTAAAGTTTGGGGAATGAGACTGGATTTCTGTGTAATGGCATCACACTAATACATCTTAAGCTAAAACTTGAATTTGCTGGTTCTGATTCTGCAGTAGGTACATCAAGTGAACAATATTGTCCAGACCAAATAATTTTTCCTCACTTTTAGCAGGGTAGGCATAATTCTCATTTGACTTTATGACATAGTACTTCCGACTGTAGCATAGATCTTCTTTCTTATTGTACCAGATACATTTGAAGCCTGAATGATATTTAGGTCTTTGCATTTGGATTTTTTTTTGCTTCATATTATACAAATTGGGAGTGTAGACTTATTTTCAACATTTCTGTTTGTTTTTTGGTAATTTTTCAAGAGTGCTTGAGTTTAAAACTCAGATTCAGAATGTTCTAACTGTTTTGTTATCATAAACATATGCCAAGAAATAATAGCTGTCTTTCTTTTTTGTTGTTTATAAATGAGCAGAAAAATGTGAACTTCATGTGCTTGAAATCTTTTGTCTCATTGAGAAGTGAATATTTTCCTATCAATGTATGATATATTAAGCCTAAAATATAGTTTTTTAAAAAATTCCTGGCTATTAACTACAGTCTACACTCTTATTTTTTAGTAACGCCAGATACACTGACAGATATGGCCAATCAAATGACAGAAAAGGTTGGACTTGTCCATGGTCTTCCCTATGTAGCAGATAGACAGGGATTTGCTGCCACTTTAGAACAGGTGAGTACTCTTTTGTGCTCTTGCTTTTTTCTCAATTATTTACTTCTTCACATTTTCTGTTTACATTTCTGGGAATTCTGACAATTCCAAAGCTCAAAAAGCAACAGAAACACCAGCTATTTGAGAACAAGAAATGTGTAAGAATAAAAAAATACCTTCTTGCTTTTCTTTCTATTCTTTCTTTAATCAAAATGCTGAAGATCCTGCACTGAGCAATAATTTGGACTTCATGTGGCCCTTATGGCCCTTTCCAACTCTGCGATTCTATGGTTCATGATTTAATACAAGATAAAAAGATTTTAGTTCTTGCTAATGATTTCATATAGAAAAGCTATAGTTTATTAGTCTTATATGCAGTGTCCCTTTTAACACTGACTTTCTAATGGGTTTGAGTCAGTAAGTAATTTGAATGTTTTATTTTTTTTGTAATGATTCATTCTTCTGCTGTCATTATTTTTGTGTGGAGCTACATCACCTAGTCATTTGTTCGTTTTCCTGAATTCTAAGCTAATTGGTTAAATCCAGTATAATATAAATGGAATTCTTCCCATCTTCTCTTCCAGTCTCTGCACACAGACATATCTCCATACTGAAGCAGATTTGTGAGGGCATGCAGGGGCCAAATGTCTGTTCTGAAAGTGTACAGTGTAATATATTTAAAACAAAACGGATAACATATAGAATCATAGAGTTGGAGGAGACCAAAAGGGCTATTCAGTCCAGCCCCCTGCCTTGCAGGAACACACAATCAAAGCACTCTCAACAGATGGCTATCTATCCTTTGCCTAAAACCTCCTTTTGATGAATTAGCATATTTAGGAGAAACAGCTGCAGATTCTCTCTCTCCCTTCCCTCCGGTTAGAGTAGTAGTATTTGTATGCAGTGACAGAAAGCAGTTAAGAAAAAAATATTTTATTGATTGCTGTAGTCACAGAGCAAGTACTACATGTTTGGTTTGGCACGTCACTGCTCAGGTGTTTTGCTTGCTTTGGCTAACATTATGTCTGAACACTTAAATGATTGAAGCTTTTTGTCACTAAGACTGTGTTTTGATGCTGGCACTTCAGATTTAAAGTATAGCATCTCAGTGATTAATATTAGAAATGAAAGGTGTTGATGTGGAACACATTTTACCACATTTCTGGCACCTTGTCTACTTTGCATCTCTTTTTCCTAATAATTTTCTTCTTCTTTTTATTATATTACTGCTGTAGTTGCAGTTTCTCTGCTGTCTGAATAATATTAACCTGCTTACCATGCATACCATGGCTTGCTGATGTTTACTTAGTTAAGGTGCAGAGAAGGGCATTTTATGTTGTTGTTCCTATTATATATGTATCTATAACATTAATGCAGTTTGACACCACTAACGGCATGGCTTGATGTTATGGAATCCTGGGATTTGTAGTTTGGTGTACTCTATTGCAGAGAAGGTTAAAGGCCTTATAAAGTTAAAACTATGATCCCATAGGATTGAACCATGGCACTTAAAGTAGTATTGAACTTCACTAAATATGTAGATGGTCCCCCCTATGTGGAACAATCTTCCCTTGGGTTTTGTTGGTATCTCAAAGTCAACAAAAACTGTATTTCTTTGCCTGGGCAAACACATAGGATTTTTGTAGGATGAGAATGAAGACATTATATACCTGATTATTGTTTTTAGCAAGTGGTTTTATTACATATGATTTTATTGTAATCAATTACAAATACTAGTTTGAAAAGTAGAATACGAATACTCTTAAATTCATAGTCTTATCCATGTAATTTTAACTTGGAGTACACCTTTTTATCTACATCTCTAGATAGAAGAGTAAAATTGATTGTATTCGTCTATCTAAGGAACATTTTCCATTTGACTGCTCTTTGTAGCTAGGACAAATACTAGTATTAATCATTATTCTCTTAAAAAACAATGACAGCATAAAGTAAACATACAGGTTCAACTTTTATGGTCTGTACTGGAGAATTCACAATTAGGCGTCTGCACAGATTTTTATATGAATGACAAAATCTTCATTAAACACAGGCATAAATGGTTGCTTAATAATATGTGACTTGCCTTTGCAAATTGATGCAATTATTTTACAAACATTTACATAAATGTTGTAGTCAGTATGCTAGTTATGCACCATTAAAAGTATGCTGTCCCTGCATACAGTAGGCAGAGGATTTAAAATTCATATGATGGGTGAAAGTGCTAACAAAATGCATGCCAGTATGGAAGAAAATATGGAAAGTACTTAACCATACGTCACCTTCCTCTTTTTTTTTTTCTTCCTTTTTTCCGAATAGGTGTATTTTGGCACTTCCCATCCAAGGACATATATTTCTGCCCATGTAACTGGTTTCAAATGTGTAACTGGGATGTCTTGCTTGATGAGAAAGGATGTCCTAGACCAAGCTGGAGGACTTATAGCCTTTGCACAGTATATTGCTGAGGATTACTTCATGGCTAAAGCAATAGCAGACAGGTAAGAAAAGACTATCTCTAGGCAAAATTCTTCCTAAATTTTATTCTTTATAGAGTTTACTGCATAATCCTTTTAAAAGCACATTATTAATAGTTTTCTGAATTAAAACTAATCAAAATAAATCAACTAAAATACTTAACAGTTCTTTGTTGAGTGAGGTTGGAGCAGTATGTAGAAGTTCAAAGTCCATTCGAAGCTTTTATTGACTCTTCAACAAAAATGGGATTGTATGATTCCACTAGTCTAATATTCAATATTAAGACCACTTTCATATGACACTACCAGACACGAAGTTGTTTTTTCCTGAAATCATATTTGGAGAAAGATACATCATCTGCTTGAATAGGGCTTCAAAGTTACTGGGGTTTTGCATTCACAGTCTGTTATAATCTTGATCTTAATCAGTTAGTTAGAGCCATTCTGCCATGTCAGTCATTTGTAGAAAGTGGCCAGATATCCTATAGTGTCAAGTCAGTCACAGAATAGAGGGCTCTCCCAATGGTATAGCACTTTTATTGTCCATGCCAGAAGTGGAAGACCAGTGGGAGTGGAAGACAAGTGACAGGTGGCCTAGTTGACCTTTTGTACTCACATCTACATTCAGAGGCAGGATTTTTTAAATTAAAGAATAACCTATTTTTTCACTATTTAGGATTCCTTGGAGCTGAGATACTATGGAAAACTCAGGAACTTCTAATGCTTAAAGCATATGGAAGACAATATGACAATCTGGAAATACTAGATGAGTTTTCTGTTTACCCAAGATTTAATAGATTCTCAGCCAATATTTTATTATTTCAGGTCATTAGCACCTAGTAAAAGTTCAGAGAAAATGATTATATCATGAACATTTATTTTAATAACTTGATTCAAAAAGTGTGAAATAACTATTTTTAACAAGCACAGTTATACCTAGAAATAAGTCATGAAGCTAATATTATATTTTATTACTCTGCCCTCATTTTTTGTGGAGTATAGGTGATTGGCTTGAAAGCGGTTGTGTAGAAGGAAATGAACTGAAATCTCATTTTATGTCTTCAGAAACAGAAATTAAGGGCCAACATATATGAAAGGATTATGTAGTGGAGTTTGAGCTGGACTATATATAATTTTAGACTAGAGATGGATATTAGTGTGTTTAAAATTCATCTCGTGCTGAAAATAGGTAACAGAAAACTTCTAAATCGAATTTTCTTCCCAATTTACTGATTTGGTATGTGAAAGAAGCCTTCTTTACAGGGGAATTCTTAAACCTAGTATTGCTCATGATTTATTATAATTGCATTCATGGTGTGCTTTAATTTTCAGAGGCTGGAAATTTGCAATGGCCACACAAGTTGCAATGCAAAACTCTGGTTCCTATTCAATTTCCCAATTTCAATCCAGAATGATCAGGTAAAATTATTCTAGTTACTTTTACTTTTAACCTTTAATCATGCAAACCACCTCTTGTTGTAGTTATACTGACAAGGACATTTGTCTGGTGGTTCTTTTTGCTATATGAACAAAGATGTAGACAATGGAAGAGAACTATGGATTGTACAGATGCATAGTATTTTAAGTATGATAATGTACTGGTGAAATCAAAGCTCCTTGCTTTTATGTACAGAAAGAAAACAATCCCTCAAGCCTTATACATTGAGCAGGGAACTGCTTCTTGAATGGCATTGGGAAGATTAATCCTCAGTGCCTGATTTTCAGTTAAAATGACTGTAGATACAAAAGAACTGTTGATATCAAAATTAGAATACAGATTTGCTGTCATTGTTAATTAAAAATAGATCAGTGTCGCACATTTAGAAGTAAAATTATTAACCAAATCAGCCTTTATAGTTCCTACAGTTACTTATTTTAAAATTATAAGTTTGCCCTAGCAATACTAAATAACTTCAGGTATTCATTTCAAGTTAAAAAAATCATTACGCTTTTTGTATAGCAGTAGTTATATATGTTTGCCACACTGATTGACTGATTTTTGAGCTCATACCTTGTATGGTGATGCTCCTTCTTCTATTGGATGATTAAATTTGAAAAAGCTTTTAACTAGTAAGAAATAAGTTCAGTTTTAGAAAACATGGTCGTTATTTTTAACCAGAGTTTTAACTGAAAAAAACTTACTATGTCTTTTTTGCTATAAAATCTGCTACATTCATGTGAAAGGCACATCTTTTAAAAGATATTAGAATAGCATGTGTTCATACTGTAATTTTCAGAATATGTTGCAGTTCTTCCCTCATCTTTTATTTTTTCTATGATCAAAGTAGTACATGCTATTATTTCCTCCTTAAGTTGAATGTCTCATTATGTAACCTTTAGATATTTTATTTTTCAAAAACTATATTTTTAAAATATAACACTGCGTAAAAATTAGGACTACATTCTCATTTATATTGTGTAAACAGCTGTCATAGGTTAAAGGACTGCATTGGCTCTGAGAAGACCTCAGAAGGTTACATTCCCCATTGATTCCCTTCAACAATTTTTATAATATTTGCAGCCAAATGGCCCCATATGCCCTCTAGGGTGTGTGGAGGAAATTTTAACTGGGGTTTCCACCTGCTCTTGGCAATTATAGGGCTAGGAGGTACCTATGGTGGCAAAAATGAAGTACAATTGCCTCAAATCCTCTTAGAGAGTCTATAGGGGTATGGCTGCAAAAATGGCTAGGGGACTCTATATGGTATGCATACCACACATTGTCCATTCTTGATTTATATCTTGCCTTTCTTCCAGCATGCTCAAGACTATGTATGTTATTCTCCCCTTCCCTTATCCTGACATCAGACCTGGGCAGTCGGTCAGGCTGAATGAAAGTCACCTGTCCCGGATCATGCAGGAAATTTAATGGCTCCGTGGAGACTAGATCTCCACTCTCTCAATTGCCAGTTCGGCGCACTAAACACGACCATCAACTGTATTATCAACTCTCTGTTCCTACAAACTAGAATTTACCTTGATTTCAGAACTACCAATGTAGCTTAAGAGTTGCAGCTTGATTCAAACCTACTTTTTCCTTTGCTTAATCATAGGTGGGCCAAGCTACGGATCAATATGCTTCCAGCCACAATAATCTGTGAACCAATTTCAGAGTGCTTTGTTGCAAGCTTAATTATTGGATGGGCAGTTCACCATGTTTTCAGATGGGATATAATGGTTTTTTTTATGTGTCACTGTTTGGCATGGTTTATATTTGACTACATTCAACTCAGAGGTGTCCAGGTAGGTTCCATTTTTCAGAGCCTCCTAGTTTTTCTGGTGCTTTAAATGTTTAAAATGATGTATTTTGCATAATAAGTGCAGTGTGAAGATTGCATTTAAAGTGGGGGAGGGAATCCCAACTATCAAAAACGATACAGCACTCTGCAGCAGAACATTCCATATTCCAATTTATTTATTGTTTTATGTGTTGTGATAGAAAGATATACAGGTCCTAATTGTAATTTAGGTCCTAATTGGAATATATCCTATACAAAATTGGACTTGCATAACAAAAGAGGGTTGACTTACTTTTATTTCTGTTTTATTGTTCAGTACAATGAGAACTATTTTTATCAGAAAGTCAGGGTGAAAGTGTTACAGATAGGTAACATTTTAATGTTTTCAATGTTTTCTCTACTTTCCTGTCGTAGTTAACTGTGAATCGCACATTGTGGTATTCCTGCGCCCACGCAGGCCAGCATCGGAACCTTCTAGAAAATTTCAAAAGAATTGTATCCCCCTCAGGGCTCCACCTCCCCTCCCCGAGTATATAAAGCCCCACTGTGGAGCCCGCCCTCAATCCTCTTTTTTCCGCCGATTGGCAGAGCAGCAAAGCGAACCTTATCTGATATTATCTTCTGGCTTTTGACACGGACTGGCTTATCGATTACTCAAGGTACTCTATCCCCCTCGACTCGGATCGTCTCACGGACTTCGTCTTAGCGCATCCCCTGTTGGGCCTGAGCTTGATATGGCCACCACCTCCTTCAGGAGATGCTCGGCCTGCCCGAACGTGCTCCCCGACACGGATGGGCATAACCTCTGCTTGGCCTGCCTAGGAGAAGGGCATCTCTCCCAGGCCTGCTCTGTGTGCGCTGCGTTCATGCCACAGACGCGCAAGAACAGGGAGCTCCGTTTAAAAGCGGCCCTATATGAAAGGGCCCTTATGCCGCCTGTTTCCAGCCCCCAAACGGTTGGGGAAAGGCCGAACCTTCCGGCGCCCGCAAGGCCCGAGCAAGCGAGCTCCAAAAAGAAGGCCAAAAAGCAAGCCGACAAGGCCCACAAAGATGGCCGCCCGCAACCCGTTCAACCCAAAAGCACGGGGAAAGGAGCGGGAAAGCCTCCAGCCACTCCTCCGGCGGCCGCACAGGGGAGCCCTTCGCCGAGAGTCGAGCCCAGGCCTTCGGGAGCCCTGTCTTCGCCCGGGCAAGCCCTGCCCTCGCCGACACCGAGCCGCTCCCCGGCCCCGACTCAGTCTCCACCTACCTTGGTCCCAGTGATGAGGGAGACAGAAGTGGCCGAAAGGCCCCCAGAGTCAACCCTCTCCACGGTCGACATCGACCTCCCGAGCTCGGCTGAGCTCCATCTGCTCGACCTCGAGCTGCCTCCCTCCCCAGGGGGCGTGGCTTCCGGCTGGGAGCATATCGCCCCGCCCCTCAGGGAGGCGGAGGAAGCAAGGATAACCCAACTGGGAGGACCCATGCCGCCTCCGACGGCCCCTGAGTTCGCAGTCCCTGCAGTCCCGGTACCGAGGAAGAGCAGGGAGAAAAGAGGCGGCAGCAAGAGGAGGAGGCCCCGATCGCCTTCTCGCCGCAGCAGGAAGCGCGGTGGTTCCCGGCACCGACGATCGTCGAGAGGGAGGTCTCGGGCTGCTTCGCCCTCCTCCTCCTCCTCTTCTTCGAGCGACTCGTCCTCCTCCTCCTCCTCCTCTTCCTCATCCGCAAAGTCTGCCCGGTCCGCTTCCACAGCCAGGAGCTCCAGGAGGGCACGACAGGCCGGAAGGCCACAACCAGCAGCCCCCCAGTGGGGACCTTATGGACCGGGGCCTTACCCCTTTGCAAGCCTGTGGAACTTGGGACCGGCAGGGCACTTCATGTATGCCCAGCACACTGCTCCTCCTTTTGCCCCCTTCGCAAGTATGGGCGCAATCCATGGCATACAGCAGAGAGGGTGTGGAAATGCAACCACAATCTTCCCTCCAACCCCGTCTGCCTCAACATCAATGACTGTGCCTCTAACGGCAGGACAGGGACAATTGAACTCTACACCAATTACTAATGTTGAGCAAAATGTTTCTTGTGTTGACCAAACTGCTTGTGTCGAACGCTCAGTTGTCCAAAATGTATGTGTTGAACACTCAATTAACCACAATGTATGTGCTGAACGCTCAGCCTGTGCAGACCGTCCAAGTTGTGACGTTGCTAATACTGTGATCTCTAGCCCTCCTGCTCCACCAGGCACCCCCCAGGTGACCCAGGAGTTGGCCCTTCCAACTGATGATCAGACAGCCGTAGACCCAGAGGACTCTGATTCCTCGGCGGAGCCATCTGATCCCGTTCAGCCTAGAGAAGTGTCAGATCCCTCACCAGTTCCACCAGACTTCAATAAATTTACCTCTTTAATAGATAGAATGACCAAGGCCCTGGACATCCCGGCCCCAAAAGCACAGGAACATATGGAGGATCCGATGTTTCCTTCGGAAGAACAGGCGGCTCCTGTCTCCACATCATTACCAATGCTCCCTTACCTCCTAAAATTAGCTAAAATTCCGGATGCCTCCCCCACAAGCATACCAGCGACACCTAGGAAAGTCGACTCCTTATACAGGATCGATCTTAGGGCTGCAAAGTGGGTCGCCAACCCACCTAAGCCCAATACGGTGGTCGCCGAAGTGGTAAAGTCAAAAAAGCCAAAAAGCACCTTGTCCGCCCCCCCGGACAAGGAAGGCAAAAAGGTGGACCTTTTAGGGAAGAAAGCTCATTTAGCGGCAGGATTGGTCACGAGGATGGCACATTGTGCCACTTATATGAGCGGGTATCAAACGTTCCTGTGGACAAAGATACTGCCCTATCTGGATAAACTCCCGCCCGAAGATCAACGCTTCCCTAAGGCATTACAGGCGGAGGCCCTAATATTGTCGAAGGTCCAAAAGGACTTCGCAAAACACCTAGCGGAGTCTGCGGGCCACCTTTTCGCTACGGCGACTTCTATCCGTAGACACGCGTGGCTACACTCGGCCAATTTGTCCGAGGAGGGCAAGGCCTTGGCTGAGGACCTTCCTCTCCATGAGGAAGGCCTCTTCAACCCGGAGACTGATGCAACCCTAAAAGAGAAGCAGGAGGTCCGACAAGCCGCTGGTAAGTTCGGTTACACTTGGCAACCGTACAACCAGAGCTGTACTAGATGGCAACCGCCCCCCAACCAGTATCGAAAAAACTTTAACAACTCATTCTCGGGTTCAGGCAGAGGAAGGGGCCCTTCATCCCCTAGGTTCCAAAGCAACAAGAGGAACTCCTATTCATCAAAGGCAAGGTACCAGCCGTACCAACCTAGGTCCAAAGGTCAGGGTGCCTCCAGGAAGCGCCTTTGACGCTTCCATTCCAACACCCTTGGCAGACCAGAACGAGACGCCCTGTTCTCCGGGCCCCTCTTCTAGACTGCATTTCTCCTTCAGCCCTGTTGGCTTACCTGAATGTTCTCCTCCCACCACACAGCATAGTTTTGTTGACAGGTTACAAGGTTTTTACAGCAGTTGGGCTAGCATCACTACCGACAAATGGGTGCTAGCAATCATCCAAAGGGGATATTCCATTGAATTTGAGAACATCCCTCAAGTGGGAAATGTTAAGAGCACTGCTCCTTCGGAAGTCTTACTCTGTGAAATAAACACCCTCTTACAGAAAGGTGCTATTTCCCCAGTTCCAGTTTCTATGCTCCCCTTCTATTTTTTCTCAAGATACTTTGTCATTTCAAAGCGTGGTGGCGGATTTAGAGCTATTATGGATTTAAGAGAGCTGAATAAAACAATTTCACCGAAGAAATTTCGTATGGTGACACTTTCTTCAATCATGCCCCTCATACCAGAGGGTGCATGGTTTGCTACCATAGACTTACGGGATGCTTATTTCCATATATCTATAGCGCCTCAACACCGTAGATTTTTGGCATTTTTGGTGGGCAGCAGAGCCTTCCAGTACAATGTCCTCCCTTTTGGACTCAGTACTGCTCCAAGAGTATTCACAAAGTGCATGGCTGTAGTGGTAGCCCACTTACGGACTCGGGGAATAGTCGTTTATCCATACATTGATGATTGGCTTATTATTGGAAAATCAGCCTCTCAGTTACAAAAGCATGTACATATTACTTTGTGTCTCCTCCAGTCCCTGGGCCTGATCGTCAACGCAGAGAAATCTTCGCTGGTTCCAGCCCGGAGCATCCTGTTCATCGGAGTGGCCCTCGATGCAGTGTCACGCAGGGCCTACCTCCCAGCGGACCGTTTTTCTACTTTGCAGACACAGGTGACGTTAGCCCTGGGCTCGCCCAGGGTGTCAGCCAAACAGGTCCAGACACTATTGGGATATATGGCCTCCACCACTTCGGTAACCCCTTTTGCGCGATTGCGTATGCGCCCCCTCCAATCCTGGTTCGGGCTTGTTTTCAATCCCCTCACGGACTGCCCGCCGCTCAAGTTTACGCTGCCGGAGGAGGTCCGCAGGTCCCTAGCATGGTGGTTGCATCCCCAGTTTGTCTGCTCGGGTCTCCCGTTCCAAATGCCTTACCCCACCAGTATAATTACGACGGACTCTTCTCTGACGGGATGGGGCACCCATGTGCAGGGCTTGGTTGCGCACGGCAAATGGTCCCCAGAGGAGGCGCTCCTTCACATAAACGTTCTCGAACTCATGGCCGTAGAAAGAGCGCTAAAGTCGTTCGAAAGGCTCATCTTAGGACAAACCATTCAGGTTTTAACAGACAACACAACCGTCATGTTCTATCTAAACAAGCAGGGGGGCACTCATTCTCCCCTATTACTGCAACTGACGTTGCGTGTTTGGGAATGGTGCATCCAGAGACAGATATACCTACACGCCACCCACCTCCCAGGTCAAGAGAACGTACTGGCGGACGCACTCAGCAGGAACCCGCTGGGGCATCACGAATGGTCTCTCCACCCTCTGGAAGTCACCAAACTCTTCCAACTGTGGGGGCACCCATTGATAGACCTTTTCGCCACCAGAGAGAACAGGAAGTGCGAGACGTTTTGCTCGAGACTCCCGATCCCCAGAGAACAGGGTTGTCTGGGGGACGCATTTCTCAGGGAGTGGGGGGGAGCCCTGGCGTATGCATTCCCTCCCTTCCCTCTACTTCTAAGGGTGGTGGCGAAACTACAAAGAGACAACGCTTGGTGCATACTGGTCACCCCGTGGTGGCCTCGTCAGCAGTGGTTCGCCCCTCTTCTACAACTGTCGAGAGGGAACCACTTGAGGCTAGGGAAGAGGGTCGACCTTCTAACGTCCCAACAGGGTCAGGTGTTGTACCCGGACGTTCATCTTCTGAAGCTAACGGCTTGGCTAATTCTTCCCCAGGGACAGATATGACCACGGGTCTCCCTCAATGCGTAAAGTGTATTATCAAAGCGGCCCATAGGCCCTCCACTAAAAGATCATATTTGTTCAAGTGGGCCTGTTTTAAAGAATTTTCCAGAACAAAGGGTCAAGAACCTGAAACCGCCCCTATTTCTATAGTGTTAGAGTTTCTGTCAWCACTTTATGATGCAGGTCTCTCCAACTCTTCCCTTAAGTGTTACCTCGCRGSCATTTCCTGGTTCAGGAGGAAAGKGGGCYTACCATCCTGCTTTGCGGAYCCRCTGGTGAARTGGTTTTTAMGGGGYTTARGAAACGTTMGGCCTCYGGTGGCTCCGATTGCTCCTKCCTGGAGTCTGGAGTTRGTTCTYTCRGCMCTAATGAAACCTCCYTTTGAGCCCATGGCTACGGCAGAGTTGGGCCCACTCACCTGGAARGTYGTATTTCTGGTAGCTGTCACGTCTGCTAGACGAGCCAGTGAGCTTTGTGCGCTCAGGGTAGATCCTCCTTACCTTAAGTTTCACAAAGATAAGGTGGTTCTCCGCACGGATATAGCCTTTCTGCCCAAGGTGGCCACGAAATTCCACATGTCCCAGGAAGTGATTCTGCCRGCTTTCTTTCAGAACCCAGAGACCCCCGTGGAGAGGGGTCTGCATTCCCTGGACGTGAGAAGGGCACTGGCCTTCTACATACAGAGAACTGCCGATTTCAGACAGTCCCCTAGGTTGTTTGTTAAATATCGAAAGGATACTAGGGGTTTCCCGGTCTCTTCACAGAGATTGTGGATTGTATCGGCTATTCGTACCTCTTACAGGTTGTCGGGTAAAGTTTTGCCCTGTCAGGTGAAAGGCCACTCGACGAGGGCTGTAGCAGCCTCTACGGCTTTCATGAAGGGTATCCCTTTGGAGATGGTTTGTAAGGCTGCTATATGGGCTTCTCCCTCCACCTTTGTTTCACACTACAAGTTGGACTGTGTGTCGAGAGGAGAGGCAAGTTTTGGTAGAGCGGTGCTGTTTTCGGCAGTGGCATGATCCCACCGTCCGTTATATAGCTCGCTAGTCTACCACAATGTGCGATTCACAGTTAACTACGACAGGAAATGGAAGGTTGCTTACCTGTAACCGTGGTTTCCTGAGTAGTTACCTGTGAATTCGCACATACCCACCCTTCCTCCCCTCGAGTATCATGCCACTTCTTCTAGCTGCTTTAGCGGCGAAAGAGGATTGAAGGCGGGCTCCACAGTGGGGCTTTATATACTCGGGGAAGGGGAGGTGGAGCCCTGAGGGGGATACAATTCTTTTGAAATTTTCTAGAAGGTTCCGATGCTGGCCTGCGTGGGCGCAGGAATACCACAATGTGCGAATTCACAGGTAACTACTCAGGAAACCACGGTTACAGGTAAGCAACCTTCCATTACTAGTTGTCAGAAACTTTTCAGTTAAGAGTGGAAACAGTCGAAATTAGCTGCTCCAGAGAGTATAAAATTAAATTGGATTTTGTGTTAGAATTGATGTTTCAATAGTGTGGTTCTCTTGGAGCCTGGAAAAGATGGGAGCTAACACTGGATCTAAATCAATTTGTTGTAGACAACAAGTTAAACATAAGCCAATAATGCGATGCGGCAGCTTAAAAAGCCAATGAGATTTTGTCCTGCACAAATAGGAGTATACTATCATCCAGGGAAGTCATGCTATCCCTCTATTCTGCATTGGTCAGACCACACCTGGAATACTGTGTCCAATTCTGGGCACTGCAGTTTAAGGGAGATGTTGACAAAGTTGGAATGTGTCCAAAGGAGGGTAACTAAAATGATCAAGGGTCTGGAGAACAAACCCTATTAGGAGTGGCTTAAAGAACTGGACATGTTTAGCCTGCAGAAGAGAAGGCTGAGAGGAGACATGATAGCCATGTATAAATATGCGAGGAGAAGTCATAGGGAGGAGGAAGCAGGTTTGTTTTCTGCTGCCCTGGAGACTAGGATATGGAATAATGGCTTCAAACTACAGGAAAGGGGATTCCACCTGAACATGAGGCGGAACTTCCTGACTGTGAGAACTGTTCAGCAGTGGAACTCTCTGCCCCAGAGTGTGATGGAGGCACCTTCTTTGGAGGCTTTTAAACAGAGGCTGGATGGCCATCTGTCGGGGGTGCTTTGAATGCAAGGTCTCTTACAACTCTTATGATTCTATGATTCTGTTAAATAAATAGCTAAGTAAATTCCTGTAATACAGTGATTAGCTCTACAAGTTTAAAAGTAAGGTAAATTCTTGATAATATTCCCATGGTATGTTCATTGTGAAATTACTGTTAAAATGATAGAAGTCAGTGTACTATAGAGGTTTGAGCTCTGGACTATGACTTTGGAGACTGAGGTTCAAATCCCTGTTCACTCAGGAAAGCCATACTCTCTCAGCCTCAGAGAAAGGGAGAGGCAACTCTACTATGAACAAATCCTGCAAAGAAAGCCATGCAAAAAGCCTTAGAAGCATCATGAGTCAAAAATAGGTTGAAGACACAGAGCAACAAGAACATATTTTTCAAGCTTTAACTGAATTTCAGGATCCCAGACATGGTCCAGTATAGCTAAAGAGTAACACCTTAACAGATCTACTGATAATTAGACATTATGGCAGTACTGGTTTTTTTTAAATCCAAGATGCTATCATTAAGTAAATATTAGATATAGTTTTTAGCATTTTCACTAATTGTGAATATCTGTTTGTATCATCCCCAGGGTGGTTCGCTGTGTTTTTCAAAACTTGACTATGCAGTAGCATGGTTCATCAGAGAGTCAATGACGATATACATTTTCCTCTCGGCTTTGTGGGATCCTACTATTAGCTGGAGGACAGGACGCTACAGGTTACGCTGTGGAGGCACCGCAGAAGAGATCCTTGATGTATAGCCACAGCTTTATGACTGTGTATTTCAAGAAAAGAAAAAAGGAGAAAAAAGAAAGTATTATAAATTATGTTTATATAAATGCTTTTAAAAGATCTACCTTCAATAGTTTTATTACTTGTATGTTTTCGTATCTCTTTCTTTAATTTATTTTGCATGGCACTTGCATCTGTGAAAAAAGTACATCTGTAGTCTTGGCCAAATGGTACCTTGTTTCCATGTACAAAACCAAATCAAGGGAATTGGTTCCAGGATTCGTTTTTCTTAGGAATTTTCTGCAGGACGTTCTAAAGATGGCATCTTTCAGCATAGTTAAAGCTACTCTCTGCTAATCAAAGGAATTAATCAGCGGGACATAAGAGGTCCATTGGAAACTATTGTGCAAGGCACAGCTGTGAATTTGTCTTCCATGGCCTTTTGGTCATTGGATTGCATCCTTCAAAGAGCTAACAATCTTTTTGTACAAGTGCAGTTTGCTTTCGGAAGCACAAGTGGTGAGACAGAAGGGGAGAAGCTTATTAGTTGATACATTGCCTACCTCTTGCAGTTGTTGTGGGACACATAGAAATGTGTAGGTAAGGCTTATGAAAAAAAGCAAATGCTGTCAGCTTGTCTCTGTATATGGATATATAGATTAAATGATTTTGGTCTCTCTGTAATGAGCCAAAAGCTTGATGTGGCAGGGTGGGAAGAATTAATGGTTAGCTATGCCTAGAGGGCAACTTTTGGCCAACTCTAATTGGTTCTGTCTTGAACCATTTTAATCACTGTGCTGTAATTAGCCTAGCTAATTCCCATCTTCACTTTTTTTTAAAGGGGGTGAGGATTTTTTGTTTCTTTGTGAGTGAATGATTGATAATTATGGGGTGGGGGGATGCATTTCAGAAACATTTCATGTCTGAGCTATTTTCCTATACACTGTCTTCTTAAGAATGTAACTTCATGATGCAGGTATTTAATATCTTTTTTAAATGGACATAGATCTCTCTTATACTTTAGTCATCCTTGAATATCAAATTGCAATAGAGACTTGTCAATATATTAAAAGGCAAGACGAGTTTGCTCTTACTGATATGAAATTGTAAGCTTTAACTATAAAACTAGGACTAATTTTGATTCCTTCTGTCATTTAATCTAGTTTCTAAATTTGATTTTTGTATTCAACTTGTAATGGCTAAAAAAGACTAGATTGTAACCAAGTTGTAAATGCATGCTGCCTCTTCCCCCTCTTCTCTCTCTCCCCACCCCTCTTTTTCTCTCTCACTTCTTTTCAGCTTGCTCTCCAACCCTGCTGTGGGGTTACTCTTAACATGGTGAACTGGACTTGTTTAAAACTGACAATACAGAAAGCAAAACTGGGAGGGGCATGGCATAAAGCCTTTTGTTTTCTTTTATAAATGTATTTATGCTGCTTTTTTTCTTTCAAATGGGCATGGCATGTTGTCACCATAAAGGTCTGTTGCTAAGTGCATTGCCAACATGGGAGCTTTAAATTCTAGGTTATGCCTGGTCAGTGCCACAGGCCAGAACTGTAGCATATTAGCAATAACTGAGTGTTTATATAGACTTTTCTCCGATTTACTGAGCCAGTCCATTTGATTGTCTGGTGTACACACATTGAAATGTAACAGTGTGTGTGTGTTTATACATGCACATGTTTTGTGTGCAGACGAATACTATGAAACATTCCCCAAACCATATCCCAAATTCTCTTTATTTGCCTTATGACATTACAGAATTTGTTTTGAAGGGCATCTTCACAAACAGAGGCTTTTAATGCGTGTTCCATTTTCTACATGTGAATCGGGAAGAATGCTTCCTGAGGAAGGTTGCACACTACAAACAAGTCTGGTTATGACCCTGTCAGGCTGTATTTTTATTGTCCTCATTGTTAATCACTGTTGATTTTGCGTATTACAAAGTTTGTATTTTTATTTGTTTTGAGAAGTTTGGTTGATGCCATCCATTGCACTGCTAAAATGAAGCATAGCTGATTTGGCTTGGTGATGATCACCATGAGTGCAGTGTAATACCAAAAACCAAAAAGGCTGAACAGACTTCAATGTGTGTGTGTGTGAGTGTGTGTGTGTGGTAGCTATGAAGAACAGAGTTAGAGGGTGTGTGAGTGTATGTATGTCCATTTGTGTGTGTACACATTTGTGAAACTTGAGTAATTTGATTTCTTGTATAAGAAACTGGGTTGATTATGAAACAGAAAATAATATTTTGGAAAATTGTAGGAGGTCACTGTGACAGCAGAAAGTAAGGGTTCAAAGTGGCTAATTTAAAACTGTCTGTCAACATGTTAAGAATACCATGTTTATTTAAAATTATTGTCTTGGTTTTGTTTCAAAATAAATTTTGAATACAATCAAATGTTTTGAGTGAGTAAAGCTGTTTATTTCCTTCCGCCATTATATTAATTTTTTCGTATTCACAATAGAAGTGTTTTCCTCCATTTGGGATCATTTTCATGGCTCTCATATCTAAAATGCTGAAGAGAGAATAGGATATTTGAGCTGTGTAATTCGTGGAATTCTGGCAGAAATGTTTGGGGAGATGACTGGAAAAAAACAAAGGACCTATGAATTATTTAAGTGAAGAGTTAAACAAATATTAGGATCCACACCAGAAAACATTATAAAAACATTTAAAAGATTAAAAAAGAAGACCAAAGAAATCTGGACGGAAGTAGGCTGTAGCTTGGAGAAGCTGTTGGGAAACTGAATTGAAGGGTTCAAGACTGAAACTAAGGGACATGTAATAAATGTATTTGGACTGGAACAGTTTTATAAAATCTTACCTCAAGATTTCAGGTGGTAGGTACAAGACAAACAACCAAAAACAGTGGGCAAAGACAGGTGAAATAATGAACTATCTAGTGTTACTACATAGTGAAAGAGAGAAAAGCATTTTCTTTTAGGAGCATAATCAGAATCTTGTTTTATGTGCATTGTGGGGTAGATTCAATATAATGATGCTATCACAATTAAAAGAAATAAACTTGCGGATCAAAATCAAGTAAACTATATGAGGAAAATTCAGTCTCTTCTAGCGAGAAATCCAGTGAGGTTTCCAATGAAACGGATATCTACAGAAATATCTGACATTGTAACTTCAGGAACTTTGCTGCATTGTATATGTGTCACCACACTTAAGAGACCAGTTCTGCTCTTTCCACTTCATCACACTGAGTGTTTTGGGTCTTTGCTCCTCTTCGGGGATGGGGCCAACCGAGCATCATCACATGATACTGTCCATGGCCCTACCCCCTTGATCATTGAAGTGGCGAGGAAGCATCACAAGATGCTTCCTCGCCAACAACAGGAGGGAAGGCATTTTATGCGTAGCTCCAATGGAGCTATCCACATTTTTGGCCCTTTCCCCCAGTCTGATGAGGGCAGGGACAGGGTGCCAATGCACCTTGTCCCGATGCCCCCCATGTGATGGTGCTCTGGCAGAGTGAATACAGGGAGTTGTGGCTTCTTTTAGGTTCTCTTGGGGTGGTCTAAACTTTTGCCTTTTGCCACTTGTCTCTGAGATGATTCCTTTTTAATAGGAGTTAAGGTATAGCTCTTATATTGATCTGTGGGCTGTAGCTCTGAACCTCACAGCTTTCTCCCCGCTGAAATTTTCAAATTTATGCTGTAACCTCATGTCTCTAGTCCCCTGCTCTTCCCCCAAAATATTTGCTAGTCATTGAGATGTCATCAGACTTCTTTTTTTCTATTGCAACATTCCAGCATGAAGTAAAACCTGTTGGGGGAAAAAAACATGTTTCCTTCAAGCTTTAAAATGAAGCAAATTCCTTTTCTCACCACTGCAGGTTTTTATTTCTATTTACTTGTTCTTCAGGATTGTTTGAAAATGATGTATATTTCCAAGGGAACTCCTGGCCCAACCTAACGTCTTGCTTCAGTTCCCTTTTCCCAGAAGAAAAGTGGTTGTGTTCAAGGATAAGGGCTTGAATTAAAACATGACTTACAAAACTACCTAACTAATGTGGTTGAGCTAAAACAAAGTCCGTATCCTTCTCACTTGTGGGATCTTTCAGCATTTGCTTGCATACATACAGAAAATATGACTTTGCTATAGTCAGTTATATGGTCACTGTATTTGAAATGACTTTTATCATATATATTTGTGCCTAGGTTGACCTCATGTATCAATCGAGGCCAGGTCTTGTGGCCAACATTGTGAATTTTCTGTGACTCATGGTAAATTGAGGGTCATTCTGGGGAGAGTGGAAAGCTTTGGCACTCCCTCAGAGGACGCTGCTCCTCCCCACTGCTATTTTCCCACGCAGGAATTCAAAGATGCCAAAAACACGATTGTGGTAGCAAGAAAAGAGGAGGTTGGTGCTTCTTATAGGTTCTCCTAGGGTGGATTAAGCTCTTACTAAAACTTCTTCTGTACCCAGTAGGTTTTACCATAGCACCACTTAGTAGTTTTCTGGTTAATGTTTGTCTTGGGATTAACTGTAGGGCTGACATTTCAGAGCTTCCTTGGAGTGTTTGCAGAATACATTTTAGCTACCTTAAATTTTAATCCAAGTTGTTGTTGTTTGTCCCACTATATTATTATCACAAGCTGCTATCCTGCCAACTCAAAAATAATATAGAATGGAGGTGTTAACTGTAAGAATGAAGAGGTTATAACTGTATTCTTATAACTGTAAGAATAACCTGAAAACTTAGTGACATTGTAGCCATAAGACAAATCTAGTTGTTATACATGTATGTGTGTCATAGTCTTACAGGCATGGGCATTAATTAAAGAGAGAGAAAAATTGCAACCTTTTTCCTTACATTTTTCTCCAAATCTCCCAGCAAGGACAGCAAGTACCAGTTCAGCGATCTACCTGGGTAATTATGTAGAGAAGGTATAATTACTCTCAATCACTCATCCTTTAAAAATACAGAAAAAGAGGATATGAATTAGATACTTAGCAGAATCTTTTCCACAAGGACAAACACAATCCTTATAGGGGATTCCCAGAAATCAGCACTCTAGTAAAACAGAGGGGATTACATCCAATTATGCTTTAATGATTGCAGCACAAAACTTAGGAATTGTCAGGTTTTGTAATTAATATGCCCCATCCTCAGATTTAAACTGAAACCCTAGGACATTAGGAGAACTGGTTGTATGAGCAGTGAATACTGAGTATTGCAATTCAATATCTTTAATATGATGCACCAGAATTAGCTGTGTCTTGGTTTGGTTTTATGTAGTAAATTATATATATTAAACCTCCTCTCAATTTGTTGGATGGTCTTCCCCCCTTTTTTTTTACTTTTTGGCAGATCTTGCCAACCTCGCAACTTCCTGACCTCTGTCCAAAGGTAGAAACAACTTTTTAGTCCTGTAGAACTAAATAACAAAAAGAAAAAGGAAACATGGTAAACAGAGTAAATGTAAAGAAGTAGAATATGTATGATCCATGAGGTCACAAATGGTTGGAAACAACTGAACGAATAAACAACAGCAACGGGCCCCATGAATCACATGTCTTAGGATGTATAAAAGATGGAATTGTGTACTCTCGGATAATGTGCCCACTGGTTTAGGATAATTACTAATGAGCAAATTATGTTTCATTAAGTTTCAGACACAAACATTTGTTACTAGAAGTGTTAAGATTTGTGACATCATCATTATCCCTCTTGATATGCAAGGAGGGCTTGAGCTTTATCCAGGATTCTTGCTTTCTTTATTTGCCCTGCTTGTTTGTCCTTGCTTGTTTACTTTCATATTTGTCACATTTTTATACACTTATTTACTTTTGCTGGTGTTCACAATACACATCGGCAGTCTCCGAAGACAGGAGTAAATTATTCTTTTCACTGTTCAGTCTCCTTTCAGCCTTTGGTCTTCCCCAAGTTAGTTTACAAAATAATTGAAAGAGATTGTAAAACAATTTAGGAAGGAGCAATAAAATGATAAAATGTAATAAGGAATTAGCAGTAATCCTCTCAGCACATGCTGCCATCATTTCTTATCCACTCTTGCCTTTCACCACTCCTTTCAGAGAAGGGTATGATCTCTTAAAGAAAAAATAACCCCTGTTAAGATACACTAAAGCACTCCAAGGGAAGCAGATACAAAGCAGTATACAGGCAATTCTTTTTATACTTTATGCATTTCATGAAAATTTTTGTTTTGCTGTTGTTTATTTGTTCAGTCGCTTCCGACTCTTCGTGGCTTCATGGACCAGCCCACGCCAGAGCTCCCTGTCGGCTGTCACATCCCCCAGCTCCTTCAGAGTCAAGCCAGTCACTTCAAGGATACCATCCATCCATCTTGCCCTTGGTCGGCCCCTCTTCCTTTTTCCTTCCATTTTCCCCAGCATCATTTTCTTCTCTAAGCTTTCCTGTCTTCTCATGATATGGCCAAAGTACTTCATCTTTGCCTCTAATATCCTTCCCTCCAATGAGCAGTCGTTCTTTATTTCCTAAAGTATGGACTGGTTGGATTTTCTTGTAGTCCTAGGCACTCTCAGAATTTTCCTCCAGCACCACAGTTCAAAAACGTCTATCTTTCTTTGCTCAGCCTTCCTTATGGTCCAGCTCTAACATCTGTAGGTTGCTACAGGGAATACCATTGCTTTAACTATGTGGATCTTCATTGCCAGTGTGATGTCTCTACTCTTCACTATTTTATAGAGATTGGTCATTGCTCTCCTGCCTTGGTTGTGCCCAACAAGGGGAACTGGGGAACCCGAGAACACCTCTTTCAAAAACAATGCTACTTGAAAGAACTTCCTCATCATGATGATGGGCTGTAACAATAGAGTCTTTGGGTTGCTGTGAGTTTTCTGGTCTGTATGGCCATGTTCCAGAAGCATTCTCTTCTGATGTTTCATCCACATCTATGACAGGCATCCTCAGAGGTTGTGAGGTCTGTTGGAAACTAGGCAAGTGAGATTTATATATCTGTGGAATGTCCAGGATGGGAGAAAGAACTCTTGTCTGTTGGAGGGGAGGAGAAAGTGCCTTCTCCTCTCCCCCTTCCCCAGCACTTCATCGCTCTGACCAGCATTTCTTCTGCCTGGTTGTTATGTGGAAAGAAAACAAAGTAGTGTTTTCTCCAAATTGCTCTTCAACAAGCCTTGAAATCTGTTAGCACAGACTGCTGCCACTGTTTGCTATGTCATTGGTTCAAAATTCTGTCTCATCCAGATTACCACCAATGTGAAACAAAGTCTAATTTTAGTTTGCATTGGAGGAAGTGGACTGTGTCTATGAATGCCTAAAATAATAATAATAATAATAATAATAATAATAATAATAATAATAATAAATATACTTTATTTATGTTCCACTCTATCCCCCCCTCCCCTGAGGGGATCAGAGTGGATTACAGATTACAGAATA